ATGCCGAGGAAGAATTGAAGAGGCGTAACAACATGCAACAGGGAGTGACAGCCAGTCGTCCATCTCTTCCACTCCAAGTGGATGTCTCAAATGGCTCTGGAGCAAATACTGGGGGTCATACGGAAAGGGGGGAAACTGAAGAAGCAGTGACTCCTAACGTTCAATCCCGCAATACGCTCCGTTTTAGCGGTGTCTCTCCATCATCAGAGTCTCCTCTAAGAAGGGCAACCTTCTCTCGACACAATATGGTAAAGTACAAAAATCCGTCTTATACACAATTCTAATATATTAGACACATTTTGCTTTAAGAAGGCGTAACGTGATGAACCAAATCATTCCTACAATGATTACTGTGTCATTATGTTTCCTGATCTTTAATCTTTCCTCTAAAGTGTTCCTTGGATTGTAACTTGCTTGAACAGCTTCATGCTTTGCCAAGATGCTTGAAATTTGTTCTAAGTAAGTAAGTTTTGTTCAAACTCTTAAAGCTTAAAGACTGATTCACCATTACTTAGGTACCGCATCCATCTCGGGCGAGTCCACGCATTGGTCCAGCTCAACCCGGGAATCCACCTCCCGTGGTATCGGTTTCTGCTTCCGGGACAAACTACATTGCATCTTCTCCTTCCCCAGCTGCGTCTGGAGGCACATCTGTTTTCAGGGATTCACGGCTTCAAAGCCCTTGGAACTGAAGGAAAGGAGCTGTTCAGGCACCGAATCCCTTTTGCAGATTTGTAAATCCTCCAAAAGTTTTTAGCTTTCTGATCTGCTGTGCAGTGGGAAGGAGACTGTCACAGTTTCCTTTTTTTTTTTTTTTTTTTTTTTTTTTGCTCAGCTTCGATTTCTATTGGATATTCATTACCCCAATGTGAAAATGTAGTTTTGTTTGCTTCATGTATGAAATTGTGTTGTTGATTCATCATTTTTCTGATTAGTAAGTCTCTCTGGGCAGCAAGTTGTTTCGTTCTATTACTGTAGTTTGATTTTATATCATTGTCGCATTATGGATGCTAAGGTATGAGGTGTTAGTTTTCTTAGTGGTCAATTATTCCTGCATTGTTAATTATTGTTAATTAGTATATATGGTAAATATAAAAGCTGGTAGATGAGAGATTTACTAATCAGAAAAAATGATTGAATCAACAACACAACTTCATACATGATCGAATCTGTTTATTTTCTTAGTGGTCAATTATTAAAGAACAGGGAAAATGACATTATCTAAACGGATTGGTTAAAATGTGACTTTTTCCTACACAAACTTTTAATTTGACAAAAAATTATATTAAATTATCAAATGTGCCAAATTGATACACGAACTATCCAATTTAGCTGTAATTTCCTACACAATCCGAAAACGGTGTTAAATGTCTGTTAACCGATGACATGGCACGCCACGTGGCGTCTGACATGACACGTCACATGAGAAATTTTGCCATTTCAGCATGCCACGTCAGATTTTTAAAAAAATATAAAAACAATCCGAAAAAAAATTACAAAAAAAAAATAAAAACACATTTAAAAAAACAAAACAAAAAATCCGAAAAAAAAAACTGAAAAAAAGTAAAAAATTACACATATATACATATATATTCATATCTATATACAAATACAAATATAAACATACATACTCCTATATATATATACTTATATATTTTTTATTATGTATATATATATATATAACTAGGAGTATTTATGTTTATATTTGTATTTGTATATGAATATATATATATATATATATTTTATTTTGTATGTATATATATATATATATGCATATGTATATATATACATATATATACATGTATATGTATTTATATATATGTATGTATATATATAAATATACTTGTCTGTATGTATATATATTGGTATAAATACATGTATATATGTGTATATTTTTTATTTGATATATATAGACATATATATATACATAGGAGTATTTATTTTTATATTTGTATTTGTATGTAGATATGAATATATATATATATATGTATTTTTTATTTTGTATGTATGTATGTATATATATATGTATATATACATATATATATATATACGTGTATATATATTTATATATATACACATACACATATATAAATATATATACACGTATATATATATGTATATATATTTGTGTAGATGTTAGTGTATATATATATATATGTATATGTTTTATTTTATATATATAGAGATATATTTTTATATAGGAGTATATATATTTATATTTGTATTTGTATATAGATATAAATATATATGTAGGAGTATATATATATTTTTTAAATAGGAGTATATAGATTTTTATATAGGAGTATATATATATATATATATATTTCAAATTTTTTCATGTGGCACGCTGACATGGCAAAATTTTCCATGTGGCATACCATATCAGACGCCATGTAGCATGCTATGTCATCAGTTAATAGACATTTAACACCCAATTCGGATTGTGTAGAAAATTACAGTTAAATTGGATAGTTCGTGTATCAATTTGGCATATTTGATAATTTGGTATAGTTTTTTGTCAAATTAAAATTTCGTATAGGAAAAAGTCACATTTTAAATTTTAAACAGTACGGGTAGGGAAATGTTATTGTCCCTAAAGAATAATATTTTTTTGTTTTTGTAACAATTATTATTATTATTATTATCATCATCATCATCATCATCATCAAATTTTTGAATTTTTATATGTAGCGGTAATTTTATCTTCCAACAGTAAAAACAGGAAACATCTAAAAAGCTTCTCGTGCGCTGTGTTTTTCTCTCTCTATCTCCGCAGTCTTTCAGTCTTTGTTTCTCTCTCCCACCTCAATGCATACACTCCTCCATTGACGCGACAAATCTTGCGACCTCGCAAAGCTCAAATCTTTCGTTTCCCGTTCTCGCAAGTTCCTCGCTTCTCGGATCCGTGTCCTGAATCCTGATCAGCCCCTTTTTTTTTTGGATGAACCCTAGCCTCATATCGTAGGAAATGGATCCTCCACTTGTGAACGAATCTTCCTTCTCCGCTGCAAATCCTTCGTCTTACACCCTCTCTGAGATTTGGCCTTTCCCTGCCAACGACAGCCTCCGTTCTGGGCTCCGTTTGTCGGTCAATTCCGACGGGTTAGCTGAGTTTTCAGGCAACAAGGGCATATCGGCCGAGGAATCTACGGTGACGGAGCACAGCGGAGGCTGCGGAGGGAGAAAGAGAAAGGATTTGAGCTGCGAGGACGAATCTTCCAAGATGGTCTCTTCGAGCAGCCGGGGTAATCGATTGGTAAGTTTACTCTTGGGTTTCTGATTGGAATCTGATCGATTTTTACAGTGTCTTCGCCTAGGAGATGTTAGATTCTCTGTGTCTTTTTGAGCATTTGTTCCAATTGTAGTGTTTGAACCCGACATAGTGATCTCGTATCTGACTCTGAGACTGCTTCTTTGCTAACTAGGGTTCGATTTGGTTAACCGAAATGTTTTACAAGTAAATCCGGATCAGATTTTGCTGGTTCCGCTCTTTACTATCAGGGTTTGGACACCGGGTTTGACTCCAGGTCCTCAGTCCTCGGAAGATCCGAAACAGAACTGATTAGTCAAAGCATAGTTTTTGTATCAGGATTGGTTATGTTGCTGACTTAGAAGTGATGATCTGAAGCTAGGTTTTTTGTTGTTAGTTGACTTTGACTCGGTTTGAGCTTTGAACCCCTCAATCTGGAAAGCGACCGTGGGTGAATGTGTCGGAGCTCATCTGTGTTCTTATCACTTTTGATAAACAATTGTTGTTATATTTCTCGGGTATATGCTGAGTGGAGTTTATTTTGCAGGATTTCTTATGCGTAGCTTCTGATCATTGCCCTTAATTGTTTCTCTTGTTGACTAACTTTTTGAGCTTGACTGGTCGTTTAATGTATGGAAAGTGGTGGGCTATGAGATAAACCGCGAGAGATTGTCTGGTTAAGCTCGGCCCGCATTGATTTTCTTTGAGAAATGGGCATTGTGAATCCAATTGTAAATCATGCCCTCAAACCAAAGCTATATGTGTTTTGCTTCCTATTTTCTTTATTATTTGTCTCTCCCTTTGTTCATCTGTCATTCCTTTTCCAGATCTTGACGGTGCATGTATATATTTTTAGATTTGCATGATGTGTAACATTTTGTCCAAAACTAGCTCAGCTTCTGTTCGGTGTATTTTATATTGCATTTCCATCTGTGTTGTGTGTGCTTAGCATTCAATGAGATATTGCTGTTGAGCAGAATGAATTGAGCGAGAAAAAAAGGAAAATTTCGGGGTCTGAAAGTGAAAATGGGGATGATGCAAGACCTGAAGGCGAGACAAGTTCTGGCGGTGGAAGCAAAGCTATGGAACAAAAGGGGAAACCTGAGCCACCAAAGGATTACATCCATGTGAGAGCGAGAAGAGGGCAAGCTACTGACAGGCACAGCCTAGCAGAGCGAGTAATTATCTTGCAAATCTTCTTGCGTTTATATTTTCTTCATACAATGACAAACTGCGATGATATCATGATTGCATCTTTTATGATGGTAACTTCATGGGCGACTCTTTTTCTCTTAAGCAATTTTCTCCTACTGACGTTAATTGCCTTTGCTTTGTAACGTAATGCATTTGAAATTGTTAAGAACAACGTAAAATCAGGATAGTGTTTGATACAGCTAGTCAGGTGTGCTTGTTCTCATTCTAGTACACTCATCCATTGAGTGGCAAAATGATCTCGTTGACCTGTCTCATTCTGAAATGATTCACTAACCCCACAACTTTTGCAGGCTAGAAGAGAGAAGATCAGTGAGAGGATGAAGGTTCTTCAAGATCTAATCCCGGGGTGTAACAAGGTACCTGATATTTCTTCTTGTCTTACACTTCAAACTTACCATAGGTGATATTCTCTACACTGCAATATTTGATTATGATATAATATTTCATATGCTTCAGATTATCGGTAAAGCTCTTGTGCTTGATGAGATTATCAATTACATTCAGTCGTTACAACGGCAAGTTGAGGTACGGTCAGGATATCTGTATCTTTGTTTCTTTCTGGTAAAGGATGCTATATTTATGTCTATAACAACACCCTGGGCTGCAGTTTCTCTCAATGAAGCTAGAAGTCGTCAACTCGGGTATGGGCGTCGGTCCGACTGTTGGAGTTTTTCCTTCTGGAGGCGTAAGTCCCAAATCTGGGCATTTTTTACTCATCAAGTGAACTTTCAGAGTAATTTGATGCTTTCTCTGAATCATGGAAATTCAGTGTTCTATTAACAGTTTCTCTTCTTCAATCATTGTGGGCTCTGTTTTTGCCATTTCTATCCACAACCATTTCATCATCTCTTTCCATTCACCCTTGTTTGATTGAACATGAAGTCGATTCTTGCATTTCTTTCCGTAGTATCCTTCATGGATTTCCTTTCCTGGCCATTGGATGAAAAGATCCATTTTTTTTAAAATCATTTTCACATACATATAAACCAAAGACCGAGTTTTTTGTTTCCTCTTTCTCGGCAATTTCTTAACTTCCTACGACTCGGGTGTTGTGTTTTTACAGATTGGCGCTCACCCGCTCGACGTTCAGAGGACTGTATTTGACCAACGAGAAGCCGAGGAAGGACGAGGGCCTCAGCCAGAGTGGCTGCAGATGCAGGCTGATGATGGGAACTTTGAATAATCTTTTTCTTATGTTTATGTAATTAGCAATTTTAGGCAATAGAGGGACTTAACCCTTGATTCTTTTCCTTGTATTATTTCCACTATCTGACCAAACTAAAATCATCACAGTGTTGTGCCACCAGGTATCTTCTACTGAGAATTTCACCTCATTTAGTGTAGGAATTGCCAAAATGATTTTAAATGTCATTTTTTAAAAAAAACCAACATCATTTCATATTCTTATATCTTTCCAAAACTACCCTTCATTTTTTATTTAATATTTTTATTTTTTAAAAATATTTCAACCCTCTCTCCCTCTTTCCAGTTCTCTCTCTATCCCCATATGTCTAACAAACTACATTGTTTTTTCTTGCCCATTCTGATCTTCAAGTTCTTTTCATTTCCAATCTATTTTTCAACTAATTTGTTATAAAAAAACAATATTAAGTTTGGACATTTCATCGATTACACACAAATCTTAATAATAGGTACATATTGTTTCAAAAATTCGTTATTAAATTTGGATTTGTGATTTGTTGTTTTGTTATCTTTCTATTTAATCTAGATGATACAGATGAAGCAAATATGATATATGCATCAGCAATACCATGATTCACGTTATTCTAACTGGTCGAAATCGTTAAATACGTGAAATTCGTCAAAATGAGAAAATTCGGAAAACTGGTCATACATACGTGTCAGAATGATCAAACTGGTCGTACTTCTAACTAGTCATACTTTTTAAATTGGTTAAACTGGTTATACTCGCAAAATTGGTAACGTTGGTCATAATCATCAAAGTGGTCAAACTGATCATACCCATTAAATTTATGATATGATATGATTATTACTATGTTAACACTTTTAAAACGATGGATTATGCGATTTCGAACAGGTCTGATCGTCTGACCAATGTATGACCGTCTGACCATATGACCGTCTGACCATTTGAGTACGAAAAAGAAATGTCTAAATTAAATTTAAACTATTTAAAAAGTTGTATAGAGGTTATAAAAATACTACTACATCGTTTTTGAGTTCAAATTTCACATGAAAAAAAAATCTTCTAACATAAGTCAATTGTATCCAATGTGTTACACAAACACTACTAGTACTTTAGGTCTTCTTTGAAAATAGTTATATTGACATACAAAAAAGGTGTTCAATCCGTATTGCTATAACCAATTTCAACTTGAGAAATCTATCATATGGTATGATTAGTACGATGTTAGCACTTTTAAAACGATGAATCGTACAAAACGATGAATCGTATGGAGTCCACCATAGGGTTCTGCCATAGCCGGGCGTCTCGCACGCCCGTCAAGTCCATGACGTTGGTCGTCGTGTCGCACACGACTATATCACAAACACAATCATGCTGCACTCGTCGCACGAGTGAGCTACAAACATGGCAATCAACGTGCATATCTTCCCAATACAATCACCGTATCGCGGTATTCGGCCCCGACCGAGATACCGATTAACGCTATGCAAACTACCCAGAATAATCACACAACGAGTCACTCTCATCGTTGGATCACACATCTCACCGCGTGTAACTAATCAAAGATTCGCCGAAGGGTGGATTTGTATCCTGGGTCGATCGATCCTTGTGTCTCTATTCCTTTTCCAGGATCATTCGGTCTATTTTCATCGTAATTCAGGTCTAGACCGGTCGGTCCACGTCTTCTGGTTCATTCCGAGTCATTTTCCTCTTATTCTAGCCTAGGTCGGTCGGTCCAGGATCTGGACCGGTCGGTCTATGTGTTCCGTGCCATTCTGAGACCTCTCGGTCTGATTTTTGGTCTGGACCGGTCGGTCCGGGTCCAGATTGGTCGGTCTAGAGACTGGGCGAAGAACAGATCGCGATTTCGCGATTTCCAGATTTTTGTCCAACTTCAATCGACCATATCTCACTCGTTTCTCCACCAAATTACGTGTCGTTTGTTGCTAAATATTCATTGAAACGTCCTCTATCTAATCCAATCAATAAGCCATCGAAATAACACAATCACACACTCAGAACGAGCTCACACAGATGGAACTCGAGCCACTCACCTCTGTTTCAGCTCAGATCTGGTTTTGATCGGATTTGTTGCCGTTTTCCGGTCTGTTGCTCGCCGAAACCCTCTTCTAAACACTCTAGGGATGTCCCCCTTGGAGTTCCCGAGCTCTCCTTGCTCTGGTTCCCCCTGTTTCTCGCCCTTCTCTCTTTCTCCTCTCTCTCTATTTTTCTGCAATCTGTTCAAAAATGGTGAAGTCCCTGACTTGGGAGAGGTTTATGCTGCGAGAGGGAGGTCGAATGGGCTCAAGCCCAGGCCCAAGATCGAGCCTGCATCGCCCTGAACGGATTGGTCGGTGACTTGACGCCGGTGGGCCCCTGAAACGCAGAGAAATACACATCCCAAGGTAGAAAGTTGGCCAGTTGCGTTCGCTGTTCTCCAGACCGGACGGTCTGGACCAGATTTCTGGGTTTTCTTCGCGTGTTCAGTCTGTTCGGTCCGATCCTCGGTCCGCCTCTGGACCGGTCGATCCACATCCTAGACCGCTCGGTCTGGGCAAATTCCTCAATATTTCTCCGTCTTTTCTCGTCTCTTCGTACGTGGTGTTTTCTCGTTCCTTTTTCCCTTATTATATATTCCCGTTTTGATGATAACGCGATGTTTCTATTTAATTATTTATTCTCGAAAATAATTAAATATTCGAATCGGGTTTCGGGGTATTACAGCCAAAATTTCTCTGAGGATTTTTATGGAACACTTTCCATGTATTCTCAATGTGACACCCGTAACCCGTCTCCCGCTCACGAGTTGTGCCACATGGACGCTCAACCATATAATAAAATAGCGGGAATTTAAAAACATTTTATTTTATTACACATGCAGCGGAAAACAAGTATCTGTTTACAAACCCACGTACAGTAGTATACACACCAACATAAAGACGGTAACTATAATATAATACAAAGTCAAGTCACCGCCCGTGCGAACCAACATAAGTCCAAAGAAAGAAAAGTACATGATCCAGATAAACTCCTCACGCGTCACCAGTACCCTCGTCCTGCTGCTGCCAATACTGCTCCGTGCCTGAAACGTTGCATAACAACGTCCATAAGCTACGTGCTTAGTGAGTACTTCGGGTTAGACCCGAAGATCATACTCAAATTGCAAATGGCCAAACACAAGCAATATTATACACACACTAGATATAAGTATATACATATATACACACTTCATGCCAGGAAAACACAGTTCACTCAATCGCACAATTAATTCACTTTTCACACACACTCAGTCCGCATGATGTATCATCGGACATAACCGTCAAATCATCTCTATGTGCATCGCACACATAGGATACCGCAAGGATCTGGTCTCACCAGTCCAGGACATATGTACACGAGTCATAACTCGACCCATCGGGTCTCTCAGTAATAACCGTACCGTCAAATCATCTCCACGTGTGCATCACACACGTGGGTAAGGACGCTCCATGTGCAACGCACATCCCCCGCTCTCCTCGGCAATCGCCGGAACAATAAAATACGTCATCCAATCCCTACTCCATAAAACATAATACATCAACCATCCCCTCTGACATCGATGTCACCTCTCGATGCCAGAGCGCCAGGTGCCTCCTCCAGGCCACCACCGACTATGTCGAGCGAAGTCAGTACACAACTGACAACCTCTCGCCGGCCGTCCGCCACGGAGAAACTCATTGGACCCGAGCTCAGGTCTTTCTGAGTTCCTTCGCATAACCTCGTCGGGAGAATCGCTCAATCCCGAGTCACGGGTAAATGTATTGCCAGTCTCTGCCGGGAGAATCACTCAATCCCGATCCCGTTCCATAGCTAGTGGAACGTTGGCGCGGTTACAGTGTAACCGTAGGATTTCCTCAACCCCGTGATAGCCGAATCACTCAAAACTATCACGTGTATCATCGGCTCCAAGCTCTGCCCGTGGGCAACCAATCACAATCATGTCTCCTCAATATGAAACCCGACCCGGGTCGGAGATCATAAAGAGGAGATCCCAACAATGCAACCATCGGGATATCACCTCAAACCCGCTACAATCACACGCTCAACCATATCCCGGCCCTCCGGAATAAGGTCTCACGCCATGCCAACGACCCGATTCCCCAATCACATGCATTCATATATTATTATACTTCAATCGGATATACACACGTCTTTACTTGACATTTTGGTGATCTCGTTCCTTTACATTCATTTTATTCTTTTTATCCTCCGATCCGATCAAATTGGGTCCGACCATTCCGGATTACCAATTCAGCTCGTTCCGAAGGTTTTACTTACCGTAAGTCGGTTTCATTCAAGTTTCATAAGGTTCGGGTAGGGAACGGGTCAAGATTGATTGGGTACAGGGGTCGGTTGCGTCGGATCTCGC